CAACTCAGACTAAACTAAAGATGACAGAAAACATGTCACTTGACCTCTCCCCTTTTCAGTGCTTGCCTACTCATCTGGCTCCTCTGAACTGTGCAGTTGAAAATCTGCATGGCATTGATAAATACTACGCTAGTCCAGGTCAGTATTTGAGTATAGACTGTTTTCGGCACACAAGAACTTTGGCATAGGGGAAAATATTGCTACAGTGAATTCAATCTCCTAACAAAACTATATGAAAGAGAGCAGTTGCCAAATAGAAATTCCAAGGCTGGAAGTCTTTATAAAAGTGACTGCAACTTCCACTATGGACTGGCTGAGAAGTTGAAATAACCTCTCTTTTTGTGAGCAGATCAGGACATAACCACTGAACCAGGACTCCTCTGACATACATATTCATAGTAGGTGGCCAATATACCAAGTGAATAAAAGGAGGAGAAAGGTGTGTACACTCACTCAAGGAGAGAAGATTCCTAAAAACCTCCAGCATCACTTCTTTGTACAGGTTCTTCTGCTCAGAGCTCAGTGTCTTCCATTCTGCCTCCGTGAAGTCCACGCTCACATCCTCGAATGTAACAGGTTTCTGGAATAAGCCATATATCCTTATGTGGCACGTATCCACTTTGTACAATGAACAGAATTTACCTTGTGGTCCTTAAAGAGTCTGTATCTGAGATGTTTAATGACTCCTTTGTAGAGACTACTGTTGTCCATATTATGTTCTGCAAAAGATTTTACCTAGTTTGGCAATAAACTCATAGGTCAACAACTAATACAAACTCCATCCTAGTCCTCAAATACATGTAAATTTATGAGGGAAATGATTTGTGAACCACTGTGAAAGCATTAAGCAATATTCATGAACATGCCTTTAGAATTCATGATGGAGGAATTACAAGATGGGAAAGCATGCGTATGCTATAGTACAACAGAACAGAGTATCTGAGAATGAAACTTGGCTAGGTATTCAGGGATCTTAAAGAATTAAAATAGAAGGATGGGAGCTCTGGTGGCCTAGTGGCAAGAAGCTGTACTGCAATCCCAGAGGTACACGGTTCAAATCCACCAGATGCTCTGCCGGAGAAGGAGGGACAATTTCCTCTTGTACCAGTCAGATCTGATTTGACGGTACATGCACACAAAAAAAAAGAATTAAAAAAAAGAATTAAAATAGAAGGATGGAGCAAAACATCAGTTATAGAGAAAGGAGGGAATAATTGGTGTCTAAATAGAGCATTTCTGAAGAGTTTAGCTAAAGCAATATGATTTGTAAAATTACCTTCATAGCAATTACCTTTTCTCATACAGTCCATGATTTTATTCCTGTAGAGTTTAATTCATCTATGCAAAAGCTTTAGTAAGAAAGAAAGGCATATTCCATAAAAAATATACTTAAATACAGTAGCATGAAGAGAAGTGGTTTCAGTTTAGGAATGCAGGGTGTGACACCCTATGCAAACCCTCTCCCCCATTATAAGTAGGGCCGGTCAGTTGAAACTGGGTCTCCAATTGGAGAAGTAGCCGGGCCACTAACTCACAGATCCATGCCAGCTTGTGCTACTTCTCCCAGCCACGTCCTCCTAAGGTGCCTTGTAGCTTCCCTTTCTTACCATTGTGAAATCACAACCCGTCCTCAGTAGAATGTGTAACAGCCTGCTGCCATGGTGACCCATCAAGATTTTGAGAAAAATTACTGCACTGACTGATGGATTACAACCCTTGTTGTTGATTGCCTTTCAGTCGAGCACAACCCATAACAACCCTATGAACAAAAGGCCTGAAGCCTTTCTCTTAACTATTGACCTCTGATACCAATATCCAGGAATTTTAATTACCTTACTTGTCCTAAGTAACCCTGGTCTCCCAACAAAATCATTTAACTGTCAGTTATCATAGGTATTTACTATGAGTCTTTGTATATATACTAACTTTTCAATATGCTCATCCACTCACAGATCCCAACATAAATGAAATGGGCATCAAGAACAGTAAGGAAACACCACCTTTTTCAGACACTATCTGACCTTAGAGGAGAGGACCTGGTCAGAACCAACTGTATAAGGCCCTAAATTAAAGGTCTGTACACAGAAGCTCTATGGACTTCCTGGTTTTTGAGAGGGAGGAAGGAAAGCATATTTCACATCTCATTTTAGTACATGGAAGCTACCAACTGGGAACTCTCCCATCTTCTGTCTTTACTTCATATTATTTTTTACTGGTATGGAAGTCAAGTCAGAAATACTGTACTTTTTGTGAATTCTGATTTATTCCAGTGAACTGACAAACCTAAATGAGAAATGGAAGACACCCCCCCTGGTGTTACTACTATTCAGTTTATAAGCCAGTCTCCTGTCATTTGGATGTGCTGCAACTATTTTCAAATTATATTTAGAAAAACTTTGCTAGTTTAATATTAATGATATTGTCTGATATTTCTATATTGTTAGGCCAAGTATCTTTAAATGGGTACAAATGTGGATCTCTTGGCATAGATGAGCTCTTCAGAAATGATTACATTTATTGAAACATTCCAGTTGTTATACCATCAATTCCTAGAAAATGTTTTGTGAAAAGATCTTCTACGCAACTTGGAGTTCCTTCAGCACCATCAGTTCTTGATTATTTGATCCCTCCTGAAATACATCACTATGGTCCAGTTAGTTTTAGCAGAATAAATTTTTGTATTTCCCCCCCCCCCAATGTTTCCAGCATAATTTTTTCCTGTATCTCCTTGCTGTGGAGTTGGAACCAATTCATAGCTGACACTCCACTGCATTTCTGAGGGTGTAAATTTCATGTGAAGGGATTGCCTATTTTTCTCCCCTAGAGCTGCTGGTGTATTCAGTCCTCGAGATGTACAGCTTTTTGGTTAGAAGTGCAACTCCCGATGACGTCTGTTCCCTTATTAGGCGCATGTTGTTGTGTGTTTATTGTCAAGTCAAAACTGATCCAAAGCCAACCCTCTGTAGGGTTTTCAGAGGCACAGGAGGATATTGCGCATCCTTCTCTGGTGGATTCAAACTGCTTGCCTTTGGGATTGCAGTGCAGTTTCTTGCCACTAAGCCACCAGAGCTCCCTCACAAATCTCACGGCGACCCCACTGCCACTGAGCTGATTCTGAACCATAATGACCTTCCACCAGGTTTCAGAGGCTGCGAATCTTCTGAGGCAGGTGGCCCATCTTTCTACCCTAAAGTTGCTAGGTGCTGACTGCGGACTTTAATTAACCTTTTCCTTAGCATCACAGCGCATAACAGAGGACTCTATGTGGCCACAGCTCTCACTGCTGTTTCATCTTTCGATATTCCAACTTGTTGTTCTTGTTGTTGTTATGTGCCATCGAGTCGTTTGCGACTCATAGCGACCCTATGTACAACAGCCCTAAACCGTGCTCTATCCTGTGCGAATCTCATTGCCTCTGACACACCCATCCCGAGTACCCCAGTCACTGAATCAATCCACCTCATAGAGGGTCTTCCCCTCCTGCGTTGTCCCTCTACTCTACCCAGCATGATGTCCCTCTCCAAAGACCTGTCTCTCCTTACAACATGTCCAAAGTATGTCAGACAAAGCCCCAGAATCCTTGCCTCCAAGGAGCAGCCCGGTTTAATCCTCTCTACGATGAATCTATTTGTTTTCTTGGCAGTCCATGGTACATTCAATACTCTTCTCCAGCACCACAGTTCAAAGGTGTCAATTCTCCTTGTATCCTCCCTAGTCATTGTCCAACTCTCTGATGCATAACAAGTGATTGCAAAAACCATGGCCTGTATCAGGCGCACCTTAGTCTCCAGAGAGACACTGTTGCTCTTGAGTATTTTGGAGAGGTCCCTAACTGCAGACTTTCCCATCGCAATACGTTTTTTGATTTCCTGGCTACTGGTGCGAAGAGTGTTGACCGTGGAGCCAAGCAAACTGAAGCTGTGAGCAATCTCAATCTCTTCGCCATCCATCCTGATGCTACCGATTGGTCCAGTGGTGAGAATTTTTGTCTTCTTTTGTCTTAAGCCTCAGTCCATACTGAAGGCTGCAGTCCTTGACCCTCTGCAGTAAGTGCATGAGGTCCTCAGTTTCAGCAAGCAGGGTTGTGTCATCTGCATAACGCAGATTGTTGATAGATCGTCCACCAATCCTAATGCCACGCCTCTCCTCATGGAGCCCCGCCTCTTTGATAATCTGCTCTGCATACAGGTTGAAAAGGTATGGAGACAGGACACATCAAGCGTTGCTTATTTTTTCTTCATTTCTGCTTGATAAACGCGTCGCATATCCTACCTCCAGGTCTTTGCACATTCCGTAATACTTAAGAAAAGTCATTCCTAGAAATCTTCTGTTAAATACTTTAAAAAACAAAACAAAAACAAAACAGATTTAGGTTCTTTACACTCAAAAGCCATGCTTCAGACTCTCTTGATTTCTTTGATTCCTGTCTCTTTAATTGTTTCTCTCCCATGTGGGATGGTCTTGGTAACAAATGGGAAAAATTAAAACCAAAATGAGACTGAAAGGATGAATTATGATTAACTGCCTTCAAGAACCGTCGTTTTCTATTGTCATGAAACAACCTTTATGTCTGTGAAAACTATCCTGAGCAGCTAAAAATGGTATTTTGTCTTGGTATTACTTCCATAAATTAGCAAGGAAAACAAAATACAAGGGTTCAGGGTCTGGAAGATGGTGGTTGTGTGCCGTCGCTTGTGACTCATAGCGACCCGGTGTACAACAGCCCTAAACCCTGCTCTATCCTGTGCCAGGCGCACTGCCTCTGACAGTTAGGGAACCGGATCCTTTTCAAAACCAAAACGGCCTATCATCAGCTATTAAGGAAATACGCATCATAAAAGAGCTGTAAACATACTGTTTCGAGTGGAATTTGGGTCTCTCCATGCGTTCACACATGCCTCGGGTTCCCCGGAATGCACGGATCGGAATACCCATCTATTCTGCTTCAGCTAGATTAATCCCACTTGCTTCAAGAAATAAACTGCAGACCCCGCTCGGGGATGGAAGGGCCGGGAGGTGATGTCTACCCCATCTCCTTCACACAAAGGCTGGAGCAGCAGGGCTCCGCCTCCTGCCCTCAGCAGCATCGCAGGCCTCGCATCCCCGTCACCCCACTGCACCTCGGGGCTCGACTGCCAGGCCCGGCCTTTCCCGAGCGTCCATCCCGCGCTCGGGGAGAGGCGATCGAGGCCCCCACGGCCCCGCGAGGTCTTCGCTGCTCCACGTGGGCCGCGGCCCCGCAAGGAGATCCAGGCGGCTTGGGGCCTCCCTGCCGCCGTCACGAACGACGCTCCTGACACACAGTTCACTTACTGCAGGACAGGCACTGTGGTCACAGTTTGTCAGGTATTTGTTCATCACAAGGGTGGCGATCTCCAAGCAAAGCCTCCTCCACAGCTCGCGCCTCTTTAAAAGTTCTCACGGGTGACTTCCGGCCCCGCCCCTCGGGCCCTGGGACGAGCGCGAAGCCACTTCCGGTGGCGCTAAAGAGCACCCAGTGCTTTGTGACTGTAGATTATGTGTCCTTCCACCGAAAGGGGGCATCATAGAGACCAAATCCACCAGATGCTCCGCTGGAGAAGGAGGGGCAATCGCCTCCTGTGCCTGTCGGATCCGATTGGACAGTACATGAAAAGGAAAAAAAAGAATTCCAGAGACCAAACATTAGGCCGATTCTTCCACTGTAACTTATAGTTTCCAAAGAGATGCGCTTCCTCCCCTCCAGCATAGATGTCTTTTGCCAGTCAAATAACCCATGGAGCTTCTATATGCAAAGTTTTGTTGGTACCATTATGTAGTGACTTCATTAATTTTATCAGCCCCTCCCTCGTCGCAAGTGGCGTTTTAAAGATGCGACGTAGGTTGTTTCGTCTTGATGGCTGTTGGGGTTTGCTGTACAGAGGGGAAAGTCCCTGCTTGCAGACAGGTGAGGAACTTTCCCAGACACAGGCTGAAAGACATGGTTAAGAACCATTAGGACTTACAGCGACCTTATGACCTTATGATCTGTACCTTTCCATGTCCTGTGCCATCCTCATCATCTCTGATACACTGGAGTCCATTGTTAAAGTCACTGTTTCAATCCATCTCGTTGAAGGGCTTCCTCAACTTGGGTTGCTAATCGTCCACTTTTCCAAACATGTTCCTTTTCCTTACAATATGCCCAAAATAGGTGAGATGAAGTTTCACCATCCTTGTCTCCAAAGAGCAGCCCGGGGCTCGGGGCTTTGTAGACCCTGTTGTCTCTGCAGGACAGTTGTCCGCTCGCTGGCCCCAGCCATAGTCAATCCCTCCGTGTACTTCGACATCACCATCCATAGCAAACCTTTTAGCCTCATCTCCTTGGAGCGGTTTGTAGTTAAAGTCCGAAAGACAGCAGAAAACTTAAGCGTTCTGAGGACTGGGGAGAAAGGATTAGGTTACATACAAGGATTCCTGACTTCACAGAATCATTCCGGGTTTTATGTGCCAAGGTGCTGTCTTCACATTCCATAATGGTACGGGTGGAAAGTCCATCTACGGGGAGAAGTTTCAGGATGAGCACTTCATCCTAAAGCACAGTTTCCACCACAACAAGATAAAGATAAATAATCCAATAGAAAAATGGGCACAGGATATGAACAGGCACTTCACCGAAGCCGACATTCAGATGGCTAACAAACACATGAAGAAATGCTCAAAATCCCTAGCCCTAAGAGAGATGCAAATTAAAACAACTGTGAGATATCATCTCACCCCAGTCAAAATAGCAAAATTTAACAGAACAGCAAGCAACAAATGCTGGCAAGGTTGTGGAGAAACTGGAACCCTTATTCACTGTTGGTGGGAGTGTAAAATGGTGCAACCCCTGTGGAAAGCAGTATGGCACTTTCTCAAAAAGTTGCAAATAGAGATACCATTTGACCCAGCAATTCCGCTACTGGGAATATACCCCGAAGAGACCATAACTGACATCCAAGCAGATATATGCACACCCATGTTTATTGCAGCTTTGTTCACAATAGCAAGGAGTTGGAAACAACCTAAGTGCCAATCAACAAACGAGTGGATAGAGAAGCTGTGGTATATTCGCACAATGGAATACTGTGCTGCATTGAAAAACAAGGAACTCATGCAATATTATTCAAAATGGTTGACTCTGGAGAACATTATGCTGAGTGAAATATCCCAGTCACAAAAGGACAAATATTGTATGGTGCCACTGTGGTAGAATGGTACTGACCTTGGGGTTGGGGAGAGACTGAGTAAGATGGGTTCAATAATGTATACTGCACTGAAACAGAGGAGGGAGAAAACTGTTTAAAAGAGATATGTGATTAGGTATTTCTGTCATGACAGGAGTCTAGAGCGATGGCTACATGGTGGAGTGGACCTGGGGGAGGGTTTGTAAAACAATGAAAGAATTTTTCTTTTACTTCTCCAGAGGGTAGTGTTCTGGGGGAGGGAGCCTTGGGAGGGGACAAATGTGCAACAATGAATGAATGGAAATCCAAAGCCTCTGTAATTTTTTTTAATTTTTATTTTATTATTTTTGTGTGAGTGTACCGTCAAATCAGATCTGACTGGTACAGGAGGAGATTGTCCCTCCTTCCCCAGCAGATCATCTGGTGGATTCGAACTGTGCCTCTGGGATTGTAGTTGTAGCTCCTTACCACTAGGCCACCAGAGCTCCCCTCCTCTGTAAATTTTTACTGAAATTAATAACAAATTTAAATTTAAAAAAAGAATTAAGTTAGAGTAAGGATGGCAATGGATTTATAACTGCTCATGCTAATAACACTATATCATGGCATGGAGGAGGAATAGTGGAAATGTATCCACATTTACAACATTCCTCTTACCAAAACCATTTATGGAAAATAGGAACTGCATTGGAACATGTATCTCTGGATTGGAAATTATGATATTGTTAATATTTCTAGCCTTAAGCTTAAAAGATTATAATGTTCAAAATTATTTGTTATACATTTGTTTAATTTTTTTCCTCTTTTAACAACTGGCATCTAGAGGGAAGAGAAAAGACCAGAGAATGGCCAAAATTATTGGGGCAGCTATTGCTGCCAGTTTAGGGCCTGTGTCAGGAAAAGGAAGTCTTACTCATATACAGTGCCACCCAAAGGTAATAAAGGAGGTCAGAATTGCTTCCACTGTGGAAAGCTGGGCCACTTCAGTAGACAGTGTCACAGACGAGAGCCACAGATAGGCAAAGCAGTAGAGAGGAAGCTCCCACTCACTTGCTTTAAGTGTGGATCTGAAGGACGCTTGGCCAAGGTGGCCCACATCAGGTCTTCGTGGCTGACAGGACTGACAGGATCCAGCTCCCAGCTGGAAACAAAGGAGGATGCTTCAACGATTTAGATCCTCCCAGAAGAGCTGTGGGTGAGCATTAACATTACGGGTAAGTATATTCATTTTCTCCTGGACACAGGGCCTACTAATTGGTCCTAATAGGATTGGGAAGGGTTTTGTGCTGTTTAACAGGAAGTTGCTATGCACCGGGGTGGACTCAATGCCACGTAACCAACACCACAAATACAGGCTGAATTCTGAGCCCTCATCCCTGTGGATGGGATCCTGTTTGGGAGTATTTCTTCTTTTAATTAGGTGGCTCCTACAGCTAATGATTTTTAAAAAACAACTTTATTTTATCTCATTATTTTTTTGTGTGTACCATCAAATTGGATCTGAATGGTACAGGAGGAGATTGTTCCTCCTTCTCCAGCAGAGAATCTGGTGGATTCGAACTGTGCACCTCTGAGATTTCAGTGCATCTTCTTGCCACTAGGCCACCAGAGCTCGCCAAGCTAATGACTTCTGAGTTATTAAAGAACAGGAAAGCACAGATCACACAAGAGCTTCACTATGCATCAGTGTGTAGGTGGGAACTCTGGGGCCTTGCCCACAGGGAGTTGTGCTGCTCACCCAAAGGCAGTACCTCTCTGGGGTTCGAACCGACCAACGTCCCCAAGGGAGAAAGAGGCACAGTCTCCTCCTGTGTGATTTATAGCCTCTGAAAACCCACCTGTGGGGCAGCTATGAGCTTGTTCTGACTTATTGATAATGAGAGAAAGAGAGCTGATGGGAAACAGGAGAGATGAGCCTCCCAAATCCGCCTCTCTGTCTCTAGCCTACCCTCTCTTAAGGTCAAGGTTTTATCAGGAAAGACATCTTTAATGTCTATGCTTTGCACACTACCGGCAAATAAAAAGGATTTAGGTAGCAGGAGAACTCAGCCCTAACACTATGCAATAGATCGAAGAGGACTGTTTCAATCTGGAGGATGCTCTGTCAGATTTGCAAGAATAATAGCAGTAAAGAGGAAAGCAGTTCCTCCCTTTCCAAATGTTGATGGGGCCTCCCAGTTAGCTCTGTATCTTAGCAACTCTGTGTATAATAGCATAAAACTCTGCCTGATCCTGAACTCTCCTCAGAATCTTGGCCGTGTTTAAGCCTGTTGTTGGAGTTACTGTCTCGATCTATCTCACTGAACGTCTTTCTGTCTTTCACTGACTTGACTTTTTCAGACTTGATGGAAAAATTCTCCAGGGTCTGGCTCTTCCCAATGTTGTTAGGTGCCATTGAGTCAACTACAACTCGTGGTGACCCTATGAACAACAGCTGTGAAACCTACACTATCCTGTGCCTTCCTCACCATCTCTGACACACTTAAGCCACTGCTATAGTCACTGTGTCAATCCATCTTGTCGAGAGTCTTCCTCTCTTACTCTGTCACTCCACCTTTCCAACCATGATTTCCTTCTCCAAAGACTGGCCCTTCCTAAAAACATGCCCTAAATATGTGAGGTGTAATTTTATCATCTTTTGCTTCCAACGAGCACTCTGGTTTCACTTTGTCTGAGACAAATCTGTTTGTTCTGTTTGCAGTTTGTGGGATATTCAACCTTACAGAGGAACATTGTCTATCTAGCCCCTCCTGATGGCATGTCCAAAGTATATGAGATGTTTCCTGTTCTTGCTTTTAAGGCTGCATTTCTAACATTCCTGGTTGCACTTTTGTTTCTTAAATAGAGGAAGAAAAGCAAAACTAGAATGAATTGGGTATTGGATAAGTTGAAGAGAATGCACTCTGATAATACTCTGCAGAAAATGATTGGATTTTTTTCCTTTCTGTGGTGGGTTAAGTTCTTGGAAGGAGTCTTTAAGCCTAAGTTTACAGATAAATAAAAAGTCAGAATTCTGAAGAAGAGAGAAGCCCAACTAAAGTATGGTGAAGTCCAAGAATGCGTACATGTTGTCTAGATTGGGGAGTGGGACAAACACTTCGGCTAAGCCTTTATGAGACAATGAGTGGAAATTTGGAAAATCTCTACTTGGTCTTGTCATAGGTCAACAAGTCACCTGTGAGTCTTATCAGTCACAGGAGAAAAGAGTATTATTTCGCAATAAGGTGTTTGTCCCAGACAATAACAAGGGTGAGTCGTTTCTTAGCTTTTACTCTTTTCAAGGAACACCATGCTCAGCTCAAGCTCAACGCTTTTGCTGCCTACTTTTTTCTTTCTATAAATACTTAGCTTAATTTGCAATCAAGATTTCTGTGGTTCCCCGCTGTGATCTACCTCTCCTACCAAAGTACACACGTCTTGAGAGTGAACCAACATTTTAGTTCTTTGAAGGGCCTGTTGCAGAAGGTCAAGGACTGTTGTCTTCAATATTGAAGGTCAATATCAAGAAGACAAAGATTCTCATCACTGATCCAATGGAAGCACCATGATAGATGGAGAAGAGACTGAAGTCATTAACAATTAGAACTTGCTTGGCTCCACAATCAACACTCTTAGCACCAGCAGTCAGGAAATCCAAAGATGAATTGCACTGAGAAATTCTGCTGTCAGGGATCTCTCCAGAGTACTGAAAGACAATGATGCCAGTCTAGAGACTAAGGTGCGCCTTATCCAGTCCATGGTCTTTTAAATTACTTGCTATGCATCAGAGAACTGGGCAATGACTACTAATGACAGAATATTGATGCTTTCAAGTTGTGGTGCTGGAGAAAAGTCTTGAACATACCATAAACCACCAAGAAAACCAGGTCCTCCTTGGTGACAATGAAACCAATTTTCAGGCTAGGATTTTGAAACTCCATCTCACATACTTTCAGCACATGGCCAGGAGGGACCAGTCTTTGGAGAAGGACATTATGCTTGCTTGGAAGTGTGGAGGGACAGTGCAGGAGAAGACCCTGGATGTCATAGATTGATACAGTACTGAAGCAATGGGGGTAAGCGTGTCAGAGACAGTGAGACTGGCTTAGGACAGGCTAGGCTTCAGAGCTGCTGTACATACGATCACTATGGGTCACAGGCAACTCGATGGCACATAGCAACAACAATAAACAATGTAGACTTGATTTTATGTGCTGAATCTAGCTGTGTCATTATCAATGTTGTAAGAAATGTGTGAATTTGTACTCTACCATATTCAAGTAATTAAATTTCCCTGATTAGGTAGAACTTATGTTAGAAATAGAAAAGTGTTTCAAAGTTACGGTATACTTTTTCATATTAACAGGCTAAGGGAGATAATACATAATGTCTCAATACATTTAGTAAAATGTATTTGAAAAATTTAAATCTTAATGATGAAAATTACTTTAAAAAACTTAGTTCCTACTACTCTATGAGGGAGGTTCGAATCCACCAGGTGCTCTTGCTGGAGAAGGAGGGGCAATCTCCTCCTGTACCAGTCAGATCCGATTTGCCGGCACACACACACACACACACACACACACAAATAAAATAAAATTTAAAAAATTATTTTTGTTACTATTTTAACAAAAAATTATATGAAACTTGGGTTTCCGTTCATTCATTATTTCACATTTTCCTCCATACCTCCCCCATTTTGCTTTTCTCTTTAAAAAGATTCTTTCATTGCTGCACAATTTCCTCCCTCCCCTGCCCCCCACTTCACTTTCCTATGCACTTCTTATTCTGCACTGTTGTCATGTAAAGAATACCTAATCATTTATTTCTTGTAAGCACTTCTTTCCCTCATCTGTTTAAATGCAGTGTTCATTATCTCTTCTTTTCTTAGTTTTCCCCCCAACCCCCATACCAGTCTTTTTTTATAACAGTGGCCACAGCCTCTTCTAAACCCAGCTTGTGCTTCTGGTAGTTCTCTGTTGATGTACTACTGTACTAGTTGTTTTGGGATAATCTTCAGCAAGATTCCTTTTGGGAACATGAGAATGGCAAACTGGGCATTCTCCGAAACATTGTGCAATATACGTCACTTTTTGCCCGCTTTTGAAGGAATGGGAGCTTTGGTGGGGACAGATGAGGACGCCACCCATGCGATTTCCAGCCAACGCAACACCAATGGAAGAGTCGTAGGAGACTCTCCACCGTGTTTTGAGATGCTGTATACGAGAATCAATGCCTTTGAGCTGTGGTGCTGGAGACGAGTATTGAATATACCAGGAGGTTTATCATGGAGAAGGTGAGACCAGGCTGCTCCTTGGAGGCAAGGACTCTGAAGCTTCGTCTGACATACTTTGGACATGTTGCATGGAGGGACCTGTCCTTGGAGAGGGACGTTATGCTTGGGAGGGTGGAGGGACAGTGCAGGAGAGGAAGACCCTCGATGAGATGGATTGATTCAGTGACGGGGGTAATGAGGGAAGGTGTGTCGGAGACAGTGCGATTGGCACAGGACAGAGCAGGGTTTGAGGCTGTTATACACAGGGTCGCTGTGAGTCTTGAGCGACTCCACGGCACATTAACAACAATATGGGCAAGGCTGGTGCTGTCTATATTTTCCCCCCTGAACAGAAGCGAAAATGAGGTCAGAAATAGAGCACCGGAAGTGCTCTCTGGCACCGGAAGTGTTCTCGCGCCCTCTCACGCGCCGAAAGGCCGGGGTTCCGGGAGTTTGTTAGGGCGGGGAGTACGGGGAATTAATTATTCGAGTGAACATCCACGTGGGTTATTCATTTTCAAAATCGGTCTAAACTGAGAAACCTTTTCCATGATGATGAGCGGGCATCCGCAGAGGGGCGCCTGTGGCCGCAGTGACCGCTGTCCGGTAGGTGGACGTCGGGGGTCAGCAGCCCCTTTGTGACGGGGGTCGGGCCCCTCCCGCGGCCGAGGCCTGGATGGGCGGGCGCAGCCCTGGCGGCTCCGGGGCCTCGATTCCCTCTCCCCGCGGGGACCGGGCGCCCAGGGGAGGGGGTGTTCCCCCGCATCGCGGCCCGAGGTGGAGGGGGTCCGGCGGGGGCGAGGCCTGCGCTGCTGGGCGGGGAGGAGGCGGGGCCTGCGGCGGCTGCCGTGTGTGTGTGTGTGTTAAGGAAATCGGGGAGACGCCGCCAGGGGTCCTGGGGTCCCGGGCCTCCGCGCCGCCCTGCCTTCTCCACCTGCGTCTGCGATGAGTTTATGTTATTAGTTGGGATTAGACAGGGACACCCCGATGGACGTGGTTATTCAGAACCTGCAGTCCTTTGATAATATGGAGGATGGGAGTGAATTCAGTTGTAAATGAACCCCAATCCCCTGTTTACAATAGAGAGGCTAATGCTAAAGCCCCCCGACTTTATCTTGGGGGCACAGACCTGCCTGTGATTGCATGCAAACTTGTAGGTAGTTCCCTGCATTGTGTCAGCTTTTAACTAAAGGAAATGCTGTTATGTGCCGTCGAGTCCCCTGCTACTCATAGCGACCCTGTACAACAGCCCTAAACTCTGCTCTGTCCTGTGCCAATCGCACTGTCTCCGACACTCCCATCCCGATTACCCCCGTCACTGAATCAATCCACCTCATTGAGGGCCTTCCCCTCCTGCGCCGTCCCTCCACCCTCCCAAGCATAACGTCCCTCTCCAAGGACAGGTCCCTCCTTGCAACATGTCCAAAGTATGTCAGACGAAGCTTCAGAGTCCTTGCCTCCAAGGAGCAGCCTGGTCTCACCTTCTCCATGATAAACCTCATGGTATATTCAATACTCGTCTCCAACACCACAGCTCAAAGGCATTGATTCTCATAGACAGCATCTCAAAACACGTTGGAGAGTCTCCTACGACTCTCCATTGGTGTTGCGTTGGCTGGAAATCGCATGGGTGGCGTTCTTCAGAATCCTTGCCTCTAAGGAGGAACCTGGTCTCACCCTCTCCAGGACGAAGTATACTATTCTAAAAGTTTAGAGCAGCCTAAAAAGTAAACCTTTTCATCAGGGAGTGTACAAATATATAAGATCGGGGGGGGGGAGGGTAGAGAAAATAGTGCAACAATGAATGAACGGAAACCCAAAATCTGTGTAAATGTTCTTTAAAATTAATAAAATTTAATTAAAAAAAACAAATATGTAAGGTCAACAGAGCTGCATTTGCCCAAAGATAGGTCCTTGAAGGAGGAAAGCAGTAGGATAGACGGAAGTAAAAATCCTAGGAGGAAGTGAGATTGCATTGTGGATATTTAACCTAATATTTTAAAACAAAATAGATATTAATGAGTAAATGGGGAAAATAGCCCATATACGCCATAGAATGACCTTCAAATAACAATCAAAAAACCCCAAAACATAAAAAGTAGATATACCCACATGCATACGCATGAGAAAATAATTCTTAAACATTTCAGTAGTAATAAGACAAAACTTGTTAGTTTTCTGATTCGAAATACATTTCATATAATTCATAGCATATTTTAAAATTAGTAAATAGCATATTAAATGAACTTCTTTGTCTTTCTGTACATGTATAAAAAAGAAAAAGTCACATTTAGTATGGGTTTAGCGCCAAGGAAAATTTTATAATTTTCACAACAAGAGACACAGACACAGGACTGAGCCTCAGTCCATATTGAAGGCTGCAGTCCTTGACCCTCTGCAGTAAGTGCATGAGGTCCTCCTCAGTTTCAGCGAGCAGGGTTGTGTCATCTGCATAATGCAGATTGTTGATAGATCATCCACCAATCCTAACGCCATGCCTCTCCTCATAGAGCCCCGCCTCTCGGATAATCTGCTCTGCATACATGTTGAAAAGGTATGGAGACAGGACACATCAAGCGTTGCTTATTTTTTCTTCATTTCTGCTTGATAAACGCGTCGCATATCCTACCTCCAGGTCGAAATTTTATAAATAAACAGTATTTTAACAGGTAAGATACCAACTTCGATTATGTGAACTTTTCTGTGAATCTTACTTTCAAACTTTCTCAAGTCAGCTAGAAAGATTATATTTTTAAACACTGCTGTGTGTACATATAGATGCGTTAGTTTTATGTATCAGCTATCTTGTCAGACATTTGCTTTTTAGGCAGATAGTGAAAATTCCATTATTAGGATATTTTACACTTTATTCATCTAATCTGTCAGTAATGAATATAAAGCTTCGAGAATAGAGTAACACAGTTTTGCCTGAGGTTGTATGCCTGATGACTGGACATATAATTCTTTGGTTGCGCCGTTAAAAGATAATGTGAATAAGTTGCTATTACTAATTTTTTATGTGACCTGTAGTTAATTACAACATTCAGTAATCTTATGAATAATAGCTCTGACCCTGGCCCCGTCCTGAGCCAACCTCACCTTCTCTGACACACCTGACCCTATTGCTACGATCACTGTCAGTTCCATCTCATCCAGGGACTTCCTCTCCTGTTCTGTCCCTCCCCTCTTCTAAGCATGATAATCCTCCAAGGACCTTGTCACAACATGCTCAAAGTTTGTGAGATGGAGTTTCAAAATTCTTGCCTCCAAGGAACAGCCTGGTTTCACCCTCTCCAGAACAAAAGTGTTTGTTCTCTTGGTAGTCCATGGTATATGTTCATTACTTCCCTCCAGCTCTGCAACTCAGAGTTATTGACTATTCCTTTATCGTCCTTATCATCCAGCTTTCCAGTGCATAGCAAGCAAATGAGAAGCCTGCAGCCTGGTTAAATCTATAGTTATGTAGTAATGTGATCATGGTCCATTTTCTGCTCTGCTGTGATCATACTCCCATTTTTACTGCCATTTTCACTTGAGTCTGATTTTCCAATACGCCTTGGTTTTGGAGTATAGCAATATACGCAGGGTCCGAGGGGACATCGGCTGGCAGGAGTGGGAGTCCTGCACTGTGAGGGGAGGAGGCTGAGCCCTCACAGTTAGTTCAGCACATTCAGGGAAGGAACTTAGGAAAGACAGATGCAGCTTTCAATTCTTCAGAGGCGGCATCTAGTGCAGCTCGTCCTTCCTCTGATAATGCGTCAAAGTGATTTTTTAAAATAGCTGAGATTATTGGGTGGCTTTAGAATTATTGTTGTTCAAGTTGGTAACAACTCACAGCCACCCGAAAATAACAGATCTGACCCCTGCCCTATGCTGTGCCCTCCTCATCATCTCTGAGTCCGTTGTGACAGTCACTGTGTCCCCTCACCTCATTGAGGGCCTTCCTCTCTTTTGCCACTCCTCTGCCTTTCCAAGCATGATGTCTTTCTCCAGGGAGCAGCCCCTCCTGACAACATGCCTAGAGTGTGTTTGACAGAGCTTCACCGTCCTTGCCTTGAAGGAGAGCACTCTGGGAGTACTTTCTCCTGGACATAATGTCCATCTCAAGGCACAGAATAGAGGTGGTTATTCCCATCTTGCAGGCAGTCCTTTGAGAATTGAGTTTATTTAAATTCAGGGTTTTCAAAGCTGTATACCATCGTTTGGACTCAAGAATTTTCTTTTTATCCGTGCCTGACCAGAGAAAATGAAATCGTCACTATATTATTCAAAGACTTTTTTAAATATATATACTTTTATAAGAAATTCTGTCATTTGGTACATGCAGTTTGGGAAAGATTTATTTAGTTAGAACCCAGAGAATGTGCCAACAAACAGCTGGAGAGAGAGCATGTGTAGCAGCGTGCTGTTTAATAGGCATTTATGTGGAGGCGGGCTGAGACCAAAAGTGGTGTCAGGACCGGGGGAGGACAGGGCAGGAGCTTTTATATCAACTAGAAATGTCTCTTGATCGAGAGGCTACAGGTTACTTATGCCTGCCCCTGTTCATGCATTATGCCCACGCAAGTGACCCTGTGCCCTGCACTAGGGGCTGGGCTTTAGGAGAGAAGAGGTGATTCATCATCCCCTCAGGTTTTCAGGCCTGAAGGAAGGCTTACACTGTGTTCTTTTAGGTTGTGGGGATAGGAAAAAAGAGATAGGATGGGGTGGGGGTGGAGTGGCACAAGGGGAAGCGTGAGAACCTTGAAAAGAGGCAATTTTGGGAGGGAAGCTGGTGTCCCCATTTTTTCCTTGCGGCGGAAGCATTGTCTGAACTGTTTGGTGCCCAATAGGATAGGATCGTGTTGCGGGGAGTTATACGGATGTCCGAGTTGGTGTAAGTTTGGTGGAGGAGATGGGGTCAGATGACTCCTTAGGTGCTGGTGTTCTGAGGGGTGTAGAGGCTCCTGGATCAAGCTTGATTCTGGTGAGTCCTTGAACCCTCACTGCAGTTGGAGTTCTGAGAACAGGGTAAGGCCCAGTCCATTTTGGCTGCAGCTTTTTCCGAGGGTCAGGTTGGCAGATGAACAATTCTGTACCACACACACCCAGGTATCCAGGGCAACAGTATTTCAAGAATAGCTAGCAGAAAGGCAGAACAAATAAGCTCAACTGATAACCCATGTGCCTTTGTTTCCCGACTGATAACCAATGTATCTTGTGCTTTTCCACTGCCCTGGAGTTTGAACTCACTGTATACTTAAGAATTTATGACACCACTCTATGGTTAAAGATCTATCTAACTGCTACATGTGCTACGTGACTGCCGCAAGTGCTACGTGCAACAATGCTGTGTAAACCCTGAGCGAACACTGAACCAATGAATTCAAATTGTGCTTTCATCACCCAATGAGAAGCTGATACTCAGTTGTATCCCCCTAAAGTGTATAAAAAAACCCAACTTTGTCTGCTCTGGGTCGGCTCCTTTATCTCTTGCCAGAGATAAGGGTCGGCCGGAGCTCCGCAATAAACCTCTTATCTCTTGCTGTTGCATCAAAAAAAAAAAATTCTGTACCACAGTGCTGGCCTCTGGAGGCTTTGGGCCCAGGAGTTTTCTTCTTCTGAGGAGTGAAGAAGAGAGAACGAGAACAAGGACTAAAATGGGCCTTGCACTGGTCGCAGGACCCCTGGTTTGGCTGTGTGGTCTGTTAAGGCGTTTCCAGCTGATGCGGGATTGTTCAGAGCTTGATGGCACCAGCAGTAAATGCCGGCTACCTTTTGAGGGAACTTGGCAACGTGAAACTTTTTGTTAATGAGAGAGCTATTTATGACAGGAGTCATTTTTGCCGTTAGGAAACCAGGCTCTTTC